AGCGGCGTTGGAAGATCGGCCTCCCTTGGCGGCGGCTAGGGTTCCAGCCGCCAGGGACGAGAGGAAAACAGGAGTTGGCAGAGATTCGGGAAGACATGGACAGTAGCAGCCTGGGCCCGGGGCTCGGACCAAACCTGGCTCCGCCCCTGCAACCCCCCATACGTTTAGTTTCGGCTTGTAGAATTTCGGACATACTGACCCGTCCGTATAAATTTGAATACCGATGTTGAATCGCAAAAATTCTACGAATGGTCCATACATTTAGAAGCAGTTTGATGAACCGCCTTGGAGTTACCCTTATGCGGGCCTCCTATTTGACACGTTATGCGTCAAAATGTCCACTAAACACACAAGTCGCGCGGGCGGCCAAGCCCATTTAACAGCGCGAGCGTTGACGCTAAGCGAGCCGACTGATTTTCTTTTTGTACTGTAGCGCTTCTATCAGTTTTCTAGAAAAGCCCAACTCAACACAAAAGTTTTAATATTGTAAAATTTAAAACGTGGATTGTTTGGAAACTTTTTGCAAACATCTTTTGAAAAATTTGAACTTTCTTTAGAAAAATACACGGTCATCAAAAAATACATGAACTTGTTGAAAAATTTGGAAACATTTTGTAAATGAAAAATGTGAACATTATAAATATTTGACTGGACATTTTCTAAATTTCTCAAACTTCTTAAGAATTGTTTTTATATTTGTTGAAAAAATAATCTAAGAAAGAAAAGAAAAGAATGGAAACAACCTAAAAGAAAACCTATAAAACAGGTAACGCAAACAATAGAACAAGAAATAAGACCACAATTTTATAGAAGGTTGTTAAAACCAGGAAAACTGGCAATCAAAACCAAGCTAAATGGGTTGCCCTTGTTCCGCTACTCACCTTGCTAGCTCTATGTGGGATGTTTGACGCAACACGTGTTAAATAGGAAACGCCCACTTACTCGGGAGCTCCTCCTATTCCACGCCTTCATCATGCAATTAGGCCGTGGCCCAATACGTTCGCTCCCTCGCTCGGTCAATCCGTTCGATCTCTTACAGTTGGTTTTTCTGTTCATAAATTTAAAATTGTTCATGAATTTGCAAATATATTTATGAGCTAAAATAAAAAATAGAAAAAATGTAAATACTGAAACAAAAACAAAAAAAACCATGCATAAAAACACAGATAAGAAAACAAAATGTTAAGAGCATCTCCAACAGGCGCCGAACGCGCCGCGCGCAAAAAACTGGTTTGCCGCGCGCCCATCGCCTGGTTTGGCGCGGCGCGCAGCGCTGGCTCCAGCAGCTGCGCTAAAATGTAGCGCGTGCGCCGCTCCAGCAGCGCGCAAAAAATGCGGCGCGCACACAATATTTTTTTTATTTTTAGATAAATCGGAAGCATAGATAAATAAAAACTAGATAGATTGCATAAATAAAAAATGATACAAAGGTATTTTACATCGATGCAACTAGATAGATAGTTCGAAAGCATAGATAAACTACGGCGCAACTAGATAGAAACTACTCCAAGTCGCTATCATCATCACCATCATCATACTCGTCGGTGTCGTCCGAGGTATCGAGCCATATGTCCAACCAACGATCATTGTGTTTCCGTGAAGAACGACCTCCCACCTGCTGCAATGATATCCGACTGCGCATTCGCCAATGCCTTCCGCCGACGCCTCTCCACCCGCGAATTGCGGCGCCTTCGCGTGTCCTCCTCGCGGCGCCTTGCCCAGTAGGATTGCTCGTAGGCGACGTCCTCCGGGTGGCGCCGGCGCCACTCCCCCATGACCCGCTCGTCCTCCTGGGCGACGAGGAGGCGGCGCTGCCGCTCAGCGTGCTCCGCACGGTCTTCTGCCGTGTTAAGACGAGGCGGCGGGGCGACGTCCAGCGTCTGCTGGAGCGTGTAGACGTCCTGGATATTCATATGCCCGCGCGGCCTGCCTAGGCGCCACACCGCCACGTCGTACGCGCGGGCGGCCTCGTGCGCCGTCTCGTAGGTGCCGAGGCCGAGCCGGAGTTCGCCGGAGCGTATCTCGGAGTAGTACCCGCCGTTGGGGCGCAGGCGGACGCCGCGGAAGCCCGATGCTCCTCGGCGGCGCGGTGACGCGTCGGGTGGCGGGGCGCTGGAGCGGTGGAGGCGCGCGTGGCAGAGGAGGAGGAAGAGGCGCATGGCAGAGGAAGTGGAATCGGAGTCGTGGAGAAGACGCGTGGCGAGCGCCGCATTTTATAGGCGCGCTGGAAGCGGTGCGTCAAAAATGACGCGCGAGCTGCCGCCTTTTCACGCGCGCGCACAAGCGGTTCCCCCGCGCGCGAGTTTCCCGCCACCGCTGGAGCGCGGCAAAACGTTCCGCGCGCGCTAAAAGCTGGGTTTAACGCGCGCGCGTCTTTTCGCGCGCCTGTTGGAGATGCTCTAAGGGGCTTAAGAAACGGTGAAACCTACATGGGCCGACCAATTGCCTAAAGTAGGAAACAATCTATAACCTAGGGAAGTCCGTTTACTCCCCAAGTTATCACGTTTTCGGCCATTTCACGCCTCAATTTATTTTTTGGTTCATGGAACATCACAACCTAATAAAATTAGACAATCATCTCCCTAATATGTTGTGTCAGGCAATTTTGGTGATTGGTCACGATCCATACTGCCATGTAATACGCATAGTTCTGTAACATGCTGCTCTAAAGACGTGGAGCTCTGGCATAGCATGTTCGCCCGCAACATTCCCCTTTGCAAAGCCATCGACAAGTGGAAGGCAAGGAAAGACAAAAGATGATGCAACACACTCAGTCTAGACTCGAGTTTGAGGAAAACAGCAACCCCCTAATGTCCATCTCGCGCATAGGCCAGAGGAACAACGCCAAAGAAGAACCTTGTGCACCAGAGCATCGTAGGGATGCTCGCCAACATGTTGATGGGCAACATCCTTTTTTATTTTATTTTTTGATGGGTTTAGTAAGCTTCGCATCCGATTTTGGAAAGCTTCTGGGTTGGTTTTCCCTTTTTGTTGTCAGTTTTTTTCTCTTTTTCTCTTTTTATTTTTTTATTTTTCCATTTCTTTTTTTCTCATTTATTTATTTCTTTTTAATTCAGTCATGGATATTTTAAATTTGTGATACTTATTCAAACTCTCGAAGGTTAAATTGTGAAGTTTTTTCTAAATTTATGAGTATTTTCCAAATTCATAAACATTTTTGTATTCATTATAATTTTTTGAATCAAGAACATTATCTAAATTTCACGAATATGTTTTAAAATTCATAGTCAAATTTTAACAAATTCACAGAAAATAAATTTTTTTGAACTATTTAAAACTAGTGATTTGTTATCGAATTTTTTAACATATTTTAAATTAAGAAAAAACTAAAAAAAGGTAAAAAAAGATTAAATTTGCAAAAAACAACTCTTTCGTATTCATGAATACTCTGACCATACAAAAATGAAGTAAAAAAATGGGTCGGTTTCGCTTTCTGCAAGCTTCGGTTCGCTGGGCCTGGCCTGTAAGACGCTGGGCTTGCAGTGAGCGACACATATCAGGATTAATTTGCAAAGCCCGTTCGACCCGCGAAACCCATCACCAGGAAAGGTGTAGGTTGAAATTGCCTCATAAAGGAACTATTGATTCTAATGGTACATTATCGAAATTGCCCCCAAAGTTGCAAAATATTATCCACCGATGCCACCTATTGATTTTCATTATCTTGTAAATTCCTTATGTGAAATAACTCTGAAATTCGTTGTGCTAAACTTGTATAAGTGAAAGAAAATGTTTCACACAGGGGAATCCCCACCTGGGCCAGCCCTTGTAGTAGGATCCTTCTACACTTCGCTCGCGCTGGAAGAAGACACAGCACGCCTGTTTGGGCCGGCCCATGTCCGATCGTCCTGTTTTTTTTTGTCTTTGTTTTTCCTACTTTAAATAATTTGGGAATTCAAAAAAGTTCTAATTTTTTTAAGAAATACGAATTTTAGAAATAAATAATTTAATAATTCATAAAATGTTTGTGGATTCGGAAAATTTGCGCAATTTTGAAAGCAAATGTTCAGAAAATCAAAAATGTTCATGATTTTTAAAATATCTTGTATTAAATTTTTTAATGAAATTGAACAAAATTTCGCGAATACAAAAAATGTTCATGAATTGAAAAATAACTTAAAAATTTCAAAACTATTCGTGATTTATAAAATCGTTTATTGATTCATAAGATGTTCGATGATTCAAAAATTGATCATGCATTTTAGAAAATGTTCGTTAAACTAAAATATGTTGCACCAATTTTCAATAAAATGTTCGTCGATTCTAGGAATGTTCACCTATTCAAGAAAAATCTTTAAAAAAATTCACAATTTTTTTTTTTGCAAATAGTAAATGTTCATGAATTCAAAAAATATTCGATATCTGTAAAATATTCAAGAATTTGAATTTTTTTGACAATTTCAAATATATTCACGAGTTTAAAAAATTGTTCACGATTTCAGAAAAATGAGAGTGATAGTGTATCTCAATGATGTAGAAAAATGTGATCATGGCTCATAGCCATTGGAGGTTATGATTTTTTGTATTTTCGTTTTAAGCGCACGGACTGTTTTGCAAATTTTGCTAGTAAATAAGTATAAAATTCGAACCCATTCCTGCATGTCGGATTGCGCGTCCAAACCGCTCACCACGTCCCTCGCATGAACAAACCGAATACTACACCTACGAAAGCAACCTACGAAGAGTTACGTAACCTGCCTAACAAATCTATCGCCCCCCCTGATTTTCACCCGTGTGGGCCCCTGCCACATCCATCCATCCAATCGCAGTCCTACACATTGCCTATTACGTAAAATCTGTACGTAACTTTACCTAGGTGTAGCATTGCTCTTTTTTATTTCATTTTTGGTGTGCGGGGAACCATTTCTCTCTCGTTGACCTTACACAGAATCTCACTTCATCTCCACCATGTAGCTCGCACTATCAAAGCCGTACGTACCATTCTTCTTTCCGTTCGTCTTGAGCTTGCTCCACCCGCAATGGGATGCCAGGCGAGCCGCCGGATCCTCCTCCTCCTCGCCACCATAGTCGTCGCCACCTCACAGCCACCACCCACCGCGGCGCAGACGGCCAGCTGCGCCGACCACACGTTCTCCGGCGGCCGCCTCTACGCGGCATGCAGCCCACTGGAGGAGCTGGACGCCAGCGTCCACTGGACGTACCACGCGTCCAACGGCACGGCGGACGTCGCGTTCCGCGTGCCGGGGGGCTCGGCCGGGTGGGCGGCGTGGGCCATCAACCCGTCCGCGGTCGGCATGCTCGGCGCCAACACGGTGTTCGCCTACCACGACCCGGCGACCGGCGTGGTGGCGGTCGCCACGGCGGTCGTCGACAGCTACACCCCGGCGTTCGCGGACGGGGACCTCGCGTTCGCCGTGCACAGGCGCGGCGCCGAGTACACCGACGGCGTGTACGCCATCCACGCCACGGTCGCGCTGCCGGGGAACAGCACCAGGCAGAACATCGTCTGGCAGGCCGGCACGTCGTCCCCGGACGGCCTGCCGGAGAGCCACCAGGCGTTCGGAGACAACGTCATGTCGTCCCGGAGCTGGGACTTCAGGTCGGCCGAGGCGGCGGTCGTTGTCGACGACGTCCCTGCCGCGCCAAGGTACAGCGTCTACCGCGCACTGCTACGCCCCAAGAATGTACGCACGTACGACAGTTTGGATCACCATATTCTTGATTTTTTCACTTGGGAAAACTTAGCTGGTTTGTGCGTGCAGATCCATGGCGTGCTGAATGCCGTGAGCTGGGGCGTGCTGCTCCCTCTCGGCGTCATGCTGGCGAGGTACATGAGGGTGTTCCCATCGCTTGATCCGGCATGGTTCTACCTCCACGTCGCCTGCCAGTGCAGCGGCTACGTGATCGGGGCGGCCGGTTGGGTCTTCGGCCTCACGCTCGGCAGCCCGGCAAAAGGCGCCCTGCAGCACCATGGCCACCGCAACATCGGAACCGCGCTTTTCGTCCTATCATCACTTCAGGTCAGTGCTCTACAATTTGTTCAGTTCAGTTCGAACTCTTTACAGATGTCGATGAACAATCTTTGCATATTTTGATGACATTTGTCGATGAACAATCTTTACATATGCTGAAACGAATTGGATCGACCAGGTTTCTGCCTTGCTGATCCGCCCTAAGAAGACCGTCAAAGTTCGCTTCTATTGGAACCTGTACCACTGGTCCGTCGGCTACACGGTGGTCGTTCTGGGCGTCGTCAATGTCTTCAAGGGCATCGGCATCCTACAACCTGATCAGAAGTACAAGCACGCCTACCTTGGCGCCGTTCTCGTGCTCGCTGTGGTGGCCTTCGTCTTGGAGCTTGTGACGCTGACGGTCAGGTTCAAGAAGGGCCGGCGGTAAAAATTCATGCCGCGGTGCTTAGACTACCTTAGCTTATCTGCGTGGACATTTGATGTGCTGCAACCGATCATGGCTCGGCAAAATAGTATTTTGAGGGTATATATGTAAAACTGGGGAAGATGGAACGGTAAGTAGTTTTTGTACAGTAGTGTTGGTTTTTCTTGACATTATTATCTACGGTAATGAGCGGGCAGTGTAGTCGTGATGACAGTTTTGAACAAAGTTTATACTCCCTCCATCCGGAAATACTTGTCCTAAAAATAACGGACGAAGAGAGTACAACATAGCAAAATTCAGCAAGAACACCCGTGCAACATTGTCCAATCGGTCTTATCGTGCACGAAATGAACTACTTTCTGTTTCACGAGTCGCTTTCAGCTGTTGGGTCAGAATTTCACATGAGACGTACAGGGACCGGGACAGCGATGACGTTGCCTCCGGGAGGCAACGGTTTTCTGAAGGCAACTTTATAGGAACGTCGGTGCAACGTTGTTCAGCGGTCTTATCGTGCACGAACACCATGGTGCACGGCTGTTGTGTGTGTGTTACGAGGTTGGCCTGGGGCGATGTTGAGTGGCCGATTCATGTTGGCTGTTTTTTGGTTGCTTGCAGGATCTCCAATCAAGTCGAGTTGGGCCAAGAAAAACGTGTTTGGTCGCAAACAGAGAGGCCTGGCTCGCATCGACACAAACTATAAAGCAGCCCAGAGTCTGGCTCGCTAAGAACCCTCTAATCTGTAGTTTCCAACGAGACTGGCTGAGTGCGGTGCAAAAGGGAGGGAGCACGCTCGTGACAGTGTGAGGGGATATCGAGTGGAGATGGAAATCGGTCGAGGCGGGATGGCGTGCAATCTAGGCTCACCCCCACCCCCACACACATTTACTCGGTCGCCACTAGCTCCAGGACAAGCACTTTGTTTGTTCTTAGCACCAGAGGCGGCGGTGACTCAAATCTGCGCAAGCGGTGGCGGCAGAGGCGGCAGCGACACTCTCCGGCAGCACGAGCTGCTTCTCCCCTTCTTCTTGGCCACCGCCTGGTCCTCCTCGAATCAGCCATGCCCCCTTCCTCGTTATCGTCCCCGAAGCCGGAAAGCAACATGCCACGCCCTTCCCCCTATGTTAGGTCATTTGTTAGGCCATTAGGAAAGATGTAGGATTGATTTCCCCATTGCTCACCGCACCATTGATGTCGCCTAGGTTATGGACGAACGGATGAAGCTGATAGTTCAGGCAGCAACACTGATAGTTGTGATTCAGGCATGGATCATGTTGACCCACAAGAGGGTTGTTCGTCATGGCGACAAGCTTGTCATCCGTTATGCTCCAATGTTAGCCCGGGATAAGGAGAGGATAACGAATCTAAATCACATATACAACTGCAACGACACATAGGCTCTGTGAATGCTAAGAATGACAAGAGGACCTTTCTCCCGGCCTGTGC